TATATATATATATATATATATATATATATATATCAAAAAGTTATTTTTTCGACATTTATTGAATACATAAAGACAAAAAAGAGTAAGATTAGTAAATCTGCTTATTTATTATCGCAGTTTAAATGCCTTCCTGTCTGTTAAGAAATTTACAGTTCTCGACGTAGCTTTATCCACAACTAATATTCTGTAAATTATTGTAAAAGTCAAAATCAGCAGATAAATTTCCCATTTTGTATCAATGTTTTTGTTTTTAATCTGGAAAAAATGTTATTTCATAAACTTTTATCACATTATTACTTACGTTCATACTGATTATTATTATGATTTTAGCTAAAGCAATGTAAATCTTATCCAGCAACGGTTTTGACTAAGCATACTCGAACTAAAAAATTAAAAATTTAATTGAAAAAATTTTAATCTTTGATTCAAAAAATTTGTAACCTTAAGGTAATAATACACAAGCAATAAATTAGTACTTGAAAATGTAATTGAACCATTCCGTAATGTTTTAAGTGTTTCCATTCAACAAAAGCTTTTGATTCGACAAACTGTGATTTAAAAACATAACAAAAAAAGAAAACAGAAGACACATTACTTTTTTTCAATAACTTCAAGTAAAATTATAAAATGAAACAGATAAAAGCTGTTGTAAATGTTCAACAATGAGTAAGTTTGTAAGCAAATCCGAATAACCAAAAATTATTGATGCAAAAATTTATTTATATTTTCCTTAGCAAAAGTTTATTTCTGCAAAGTCTACAATGCTAATAACACCAAGAAATAGTTAAATAAATTTATCTTTTTTATGGTACAGGAACTAACCAATGAAAAAATAAAGATTGACGTATTCCTTACCGCAATTCCCTCTTGAGCAAAAAAAATTTTAATTTTGAGACTAAAAAACTTATAGAGAGCTCTATTTAAATTAGACAGAACCATAATTGCCCTTTTTTAAAAGCCAATTTACAGTAGTAAAAAAAGCCGTTCAAGGGATGGTAAATATTGACAACGAAGAAAACAACAATAACGGAAATAAGTAAAGTATAACTCGATATTCAATAGCAAGCGCTGAATATAAACGACCAAGCAGAAAAGATAGTGAAAAATACTAGGTTTTGGGAGATTTTAGAAATCGCAAGAATCTAACATATTTACACAGAAACTAATGATAAACTGGCTTAGCACGTAAGTGAAATTCTTATCCTACCTATTAGTTTAAATATGCGCCACCTCAAATGTATAAAGCCACATCATCTAACCTACCTCTCTCTTCAGTATGACCTTCCGTGCTACTCCTCTTTATAACCTGCTTTGCATTCGTAAAACTTTGCCAAATAAATGTATTCTAAACAGCATACACCGTCTAAAAAACTGAACAGAAACTCCTCACTCCTTGCAACAGCATGAAGTGAAAAAAGTATCAATAGAAATTCAGCAGACGTAAACGATTGATCACGAAAAAGCCAGAATCTAGTACTTTTTTCTGCCAACAAAAACATTACCACATTACCAGCAAGTGAAAAAGAGATTTATAGTGACTGAAGAAGTCTAATTCGTCAAGCAAATAGTATATGAAGCTATACGTGATATAATTGGGAAGATCTTGTCTGCATTCAAAGACGGATTTTGCCATCTTTCAACAAGTAAGCTAAAAAAAGTAAAGATTAAATTGCAGAATATTTAAAGAAAAATTTTAGCTTGTTATTGGTGGTAACCAGAAGACCAAAGCAAGTAAACACCTGGAAATCGCATTTTCACAATCTGCATAAGTTCCCATGTCAAGGCTGCCAACCGTAAGAACAACTAATGAGCCAGGATGAGATGAATAGTCGCACTCACACAAGCTATGTAGACTTAATGGTGCGTCACCACGAAGCTTATCGATGTCTAAGTTTTGGAAAGTGTAGCCGGGAATCAACGTGAGTATGCAATGTCGGAAAACCAGTGAGAGTTACCATTCAAGATGACTGTTCTGCTACTTTTAGATAGAGCTTCATTGATTTTATCGTGGAGCTGATAACG